GGGACCCCGTCACCTTTCCTGGTCGCCGGGGCCTGCGCAGGGCTGGGTGGCGCAGGCAGGTCACTGCTGCAGGGGGTATGCTCAGAGTAGCAAGTGAATCTAAGGGGTTTTAGGGTAGTAAGTAAATCTCAGGGGTTTTAGGGTGGCTGGTGGTGGTTAAGACCAGACGAGGGGTCTGACTTCTTCCCTCGGGCTTTCGTGAAACCTGCTAGTAGGTTGTTTTTCCACCTCCCATTTAAAAAAAAAAAAAAGTCTTAATTTTTATATTCACCGAGCTGCTGCTTTTATATATAGTCACATGTAAAGAAGTCAATAAGGGAATAATGCAGAGCTGCGTTTAAAATGCATATGCTGGTGTTTATGTTGTGAATCTCCCAGATTCACCAACCATCAAGGTTAAAGATGGAATTAAATAGGAAGGGAGGCCTGAGCCGTAAGCAAGGATTACGTCTCGTTGTTTCAGACCATGTTCAGAGGCACAGCAGGCCTCTGAACCTGCTCTAGAAATAGTTCTAAATGAGGTATCATCTCTGAAAGCGAATAAGGCCATTGTATTTCCTATTGTCACAAAAGCTATATTGAACAGAGGCCTTCAAGTGTTCTTAACTTACTCCTTTTCTTCTGTTTTGAAGGTAATTAGAGTGACGGGTTTTATGAAAGGACTTTACACAGATTTTGAATTGAAATCAGATAACGTTAAGGTGGGTATGAAACTTCCTTATTTATTTAGCTGTAATATTCGTATTCTTTGAAACTTGCCACAAGGTACTTTTGGTCTTTTCTGCATTCAACATCAAGGAGCTGTCTTTAGTTTTATGAAGAAACTGTAAAAGCTATTGCCTGTTGGTTATATTATGCATGGGGTGAACACCGATAGATTGCATTTGTGGATGTGACACAAACAAGCTGTTGTGTGTAAAGAACTGTTTCTGTAAAGATCTCAAAACAGTGAGGGTTAATCTACGACCAGGTCTGGGTTTCCAAAATACTGTTGTGTTACTGATGAAAAGAATCAGTATGTAGAAAGATTGCCTTAAAGTAGTTAGGCATTGGTAATAAATCACAAATACTAGAAATCCACACACAGCTTTTTAAGGAGTCTTGTGGTCTCTCAATGGAATGTATGATTTTATATTTATTGCTTTATAGATGTGTGTGTATACACACACACACACACATATATATACTGTATACAGATATACAGTAAATATTTTTGCTTAATATCCCAGGACTTGCTGAGGCATTTGTCTAGTATATGCATTCCACAATAGGTTTATTACAGTATACAAATGGCTAATTACTGAAAGAGGAGGTTAATGTTATTACTGAAAAATGGTTTTCTTAAGTACAAGGGTGACTTTAGTCTCTGTTTGCTGCTCTTCTGTTGTCTGCCTCTTTGCTGAGCTGATGCTGACTTCAACTACCAACTTGATTAGAACCTTTGGTCGCTTATTCATGGCAAATAACGCAGTGTTTGTATGTTGCTAGTTAGACAGCTGCATCTGTTGGTGATTGTTTAACATAGCACCTGAAAGTATTATAATACAGCCAGTTGCATGGATGTTTTGTGCACTTCTTGCAGCTAATTATTGATCTGATACGTACGTTTATTTCTGTGACTGTTCTTATTGTTGTTGGGATAACTAAAATCTAAATTAGGATTGTTGGTTTTGTTGGTACTGTCCCTGGTGAGGAGAGGCAGCGGGGTGGCTCTGTATGTTGGGGAGTGTTTCGATTGTCTAGAGCTCAACGATTGTGATGATGATACGGTCGAGTGTTTATGGGTAAGGATGAGGGGGAAGGCCAACGAGGCAGATATCCTGCTGGGAGTCTGTTAGAGACCACCCAGCCAGGATGAAGAGGCGGATGAAGCATTCTACAAGCGGCTGGCAGAAGTCTCACAGTCGCTAGCCCTTGTTCTCGTGGGGGACTTCAACTTCCCGGACATCTGATGGAAATACAACACGGCAGAGAGGAAACAGTCTAGGAGGTTCCTGGAGTGTGTGGAAGACAACTTCCTGACACAGCTGGTAAGTGAGCCTACCAGGGGAGGTGCCTCGCTCGACCTGCTGTTTACAAACAGAGAAGGACTGGTGGGAGATGTGGTGGTCGGAGGCCGTCTTGGGCTTAGCGACCATG